AGAAATGAAAATGAATGGCCAAGAAGCAAGTGCTCAGAAAAGAAAGCCACAGGGAAAAGCCTGAGCATGTTTGGTAAGAATACTGCTGGTTTACCCAAAAGAAGTTCATAAATGTCAGAAAGGGAACAGACAAACACTTTTAAATTTCAGGCATTTTTAAAAGTAAATATCAGGACTCAATTAGAAAAACTGGGGTTTTTTTTTTTTTTTAAAGAGGATTCAAGTATACAGCATCCTTTTAATCTCTATGAAATATGCTGCCCTGCAGTAAACATTGCTGTCAAAGACTAAATAAATGGGGTGGTTGGAACATTATCAGCTATAGTAGAACCTTTGAGTTATAACAGAGTTATGAACTGACTAGTCAACCACAAACCTCATTTGGAATTGGACATACAAAATCAAGCAACAGCAGAAACCAAAAAAATACAGTGTAGTAGTTTATATTTAACACTGCAACAAAAGGAAAGCAGCATTTTTCTTCAGCAGAATACAGTTTCAAAGCTGTATTAAGTTAATGTTCAGTTGTAAACTTTTGAAAGAACAACCATAATTACAGAGTTACAAACATTTCAGAGTTACAAATAACCCCCATTCCCAAGGTGTTTGGAATGGAGATTTACTATAAATGAAACTTAATTGAAAATAGCCATTTTGTCAAAACCAAAATGTTTCATGAGTAAGTATCTGTTTTGTCAAAGTTTTCATCCGGAAGGTTTATTGAACCAGGATTCTCTGTTCATTTTTTACCGGGGGAGGGGGGAGGAGAGGGAAAGCAAAAAACCTCAGGATTTAGATCTGAAAGTGGACATTTTCACTAAATTCCATTCTGTGAAAACCTTTGAAAGATCCTGTTTTAATTCTAGTGAGAAACAAAACAAAATTTGAAACATCAAACCTTGCTGGACAGTGTTACAAAATAGCTTTTAAAGACACCTTCTCTGGTGAGTGGGCAGGGATGGGGAAGTAATTCTTTTTTTTAAAAAAAATGCAGGTTGAGACACATTAGAAACCCAATCCTGCAAACATATAAGCACGAGTAACTATTCATATGTACAGTGGCTGGAGCTACTCACAGGCATAGGTGTTTGAAGGATCAGGGGGATACATGGTATTTCTTCATCACAGTCATTTCTAGATTATTAAAACTTGGTCTATTCGCCAGGCTGGCATGAGAGTGCCTGGGAATTCTGTTTATCTGACAACACTTTGTATAAAACTATTATAAGAGGGACGTTTAAAGCAATGGATACACAAAGACAGGTAAAATGAAATTGAGGGCAAGAAGTGTCATTAAAAAATTCCCTAATTTTTGTCTCTGGCATGACTCAACAACACAGCACATTTGTTATTTCCAATTAATAGAAATATCCTACCAAAGCATGCAATTATATCAATTTACTCTACAGGAAACAATTGCTTGTGAAAATGTAATGACTTCATCTAAGTACTCTCCTTAAAGAGAGCTCTCCTTGAGGAGTTCAATATCTTGTCTTCAGTATACTTCATTCCAGAAGTGTCTGTTATGGGGAATATTTTAAGTCCTTGTCCCTTCAAAGAGATCACTAACCATATGAAGAAAACAGAACGTTACAACAAAATGCAGTGGACTTCATTCTCCTTTGCCTTGCATCTTGTGCAGCCGTTTACAAAGAGAACACAACGTTTTTGGAAAGTGTTACCATTCTGATTTGGCAGCATTTTACCCCCATTAGTGCAAAAGACAAACAATGTGCAAGTCGAAGGAGAATCAGAGCCATGATGACAGTTTTTCCGCCTACGCAACATGGAGATGAGACTATTACCTACCTCACAATAGCTCTGTAACGACTCGTTACCAAATAGGTAGAATTGCTTTGAATAGGTACGGCATAATGTAAAGAACTAAGAGTGAAATCCTATCCCCACCAAATGTAATTGGAGTTTTGCCATTAACTGCACCGTAGCGAGGATTTTACTCTATATTTTACTCATCGCTTTTGAAGTGTTCTGAACAACTAACCCACAATCTGTTTGTTGAGCATAATTTGTTAGGCAGAAAGGGGAATACACCTGTCTTTGAGCTCATGTTTCTTGGCTTGAACTAAAGGACTTGAAGTGAGGGAATGATAATGGGATATAGCAGATAAAATAAGCAGCTGCTGTAGCTGCAGCATATATGAATTTATTCTGGGATATTTCAGCGCCATATTTAACACCACAACTACTTTGGTGGGAGATAGTACAACAACAATCTCATGTTAATGAGATATACCACTTGGTCTACAGGCTTACAAACACGGACCCTGATCTAGCAGAAGCATCCATGCAGGCAGGTCCTTATAGCCACATGGTCTCCCAAAGACTACAGTAACAGTCATTATTTGACTGCACTGGCACTCCTCGTGGGCACATTCTTTTGCAGGATCAGGGCCCATTAGCTACACATTGGGCAGGACCAACACTTTGTTTACAATTTATCTAACAGTACCTCAGCCAAATTCTGAGAGATACTGAGCATACCACTTAAGCCAATAAGAGCTACTCAGCATCTCTCAGAATTTGGCCCTGTCAAATAACACCCATGTAGTTGGTGGTATCTCCTCCCTATACATTTTAGGCTCTAAAAAGAATGATAAAACAGCCGACAGACATGGACAATCTATACATTATGGGCTAGATTTTTAAACATTACTTAAGAAATATAGTCTGCCCTCAACTTCATGTGCCTACTCTACAGCTGAAACATTCACACCTCAGAAAGAGTTCAAAAGCTAACCATTTGCCATTATACCCTGTTAGCTGCATAAACATGCCTTTTCTTTTGACCCATACGTAGGATAAAAACACATGAGATTGTAAGCCAAGCAGATTTGGCAGCCTTGTAATACTGTATTTACTTGGACCGTGAGATCTAAATTAAATGTGAAACTCTCCAAGCATTAATTCTCTGTTATCTGAACAATAAACGCCAGGGGATCACCCAGTGTTAATAGTTTAGCTAGAATGAATTTTAATCATAGTCTTTATTTATTTCTAATGTTTCAGCCAAACGCCCTCAGCTAAATGAACTGGTTTGTTAGGCTCGGACTGTGCCATTTACTCACTGGCTTGAGCAGACAGCAATTCTGAACTGTGCCAGCCCATGAGAAACTCTGGGAGGAACCATGTTTCAGAAGGTACAAACCCACCCTCAGCTCACACTGTACACAAGCCCACCCTCAGTACACAAGGGAACACATATACTGCAGCATCTAATGCAGGGGTCTCCAACCTTTTTAACCACATGGTCCCTTTTTCAATTTAAGTGCAATGTAAGATCTACCTCAAACCCAAATACCTTTGCCCCACTTCCTTCCGCTCCTTCTTTGAGTCCCCATGCCTCTTCCACCTGTTCTCCGAGGCCTTAGCCTGCTCACTCCATCCCCTTTGGGCTCCTCTCATCCTTGCTCACCTTCACCAGGCTGGGGTAGGGAGTTGGGGAGCACGCTGTGGTCTTGGGGTAGGAGTTTGGAGTGTGGGAGGAGCTCCAGGCTTAGCTCAGGGTGGGGGACTGGGGTCCCAGAGGGGTTTCCAGATGCAAGCTCTGGGAAGGAGTTTGGGTCTTGGGGAACTCAAATCTGGGGCAGGAGTATGGGTACAGGAGGAGATTCAGGGCTGGGACAGGGGTTCGGGAAGCAGGCTCTGGCTGAGCACTGTTTAACTAAGACGGCTTCCAGGCGGTGGAGCAGTGGGGTTAAGGCCGGCTTATTCCTGCCCTGGCTCTGCACCACCCCTGAGAGCAGCTCGCATGTCCAGCAATGGCTCCATGTGCTGTCCCGCATCTACAGGCACTGAGCCCACAGCTTCTACAGGCCACAGTTCCCCATTATTGGTCAATGGGAGCTGCAGAAGTGGTGTCTGCAGGCAAGGACAGCATGTGAAGACCGCCTGCTCTGCCCCTCAGGGGCTGCAGGGAGATGCCAGCCACTTCCAGTAGCAGCAATTACCACGGGGATAATTACTTCAGCCACTACGAGTTAGGCATTTTAGAACTCACTAAAAGAATTAAATGTGAGCATAAGAGAGAAATGAAAATTATGAAATGCACAGACCAGTCAAAAACCAAACATAACCCACTTTGCAAGCAGTACAAGTAGTAACAACCCACGTATGACTTGGGTCGGGAGATGAGAGTGACGGACAGTGTGTGAGTGACAGATTTGCATTGCCAAGCTCCCTCCATCCCCTTCTCTCTGTGTGTGAAGATGGGATACAGAAGTGGGGGGGGGAGAGGGACACCCTGACATCAGTGCCCCCTCCCCTTCTCCCTCTCACATCCTGCACAGCAAGCAGGAGGCTCCCCGGGGGAGGGGTGAGCTCCAAGGCAGAGGGCAGGAGCAACGTGACAGTGGGAGGAGAGGCCAGCCTGGCCAAACCAGTCAGGTATCCAGCGACCACCTATCAGAGACAGCAAGATCTATCGGTAGATCCCAATCTACTGGTTGGTGATAACTGGTCTAATGGAATGGCATAGCTCATGCTCCCAAGAGAATCTGCCTGCCTGGAGGTGAGAAAGGTCCTTTGCACGTTCAGAGGTGATCTGAGCCCCCAAAGTTACTAGTAAGGAGCACTGCCTGAGCTCCCTCAAAACCAGGGACTGCTGTTGTTTGTCCCTTGGGATGATGGTGAGAAAGGCTCCTTGTGCTCATCCCTACCTCCTACTCTCACATGTTTAAGGCCAAGCCAAGTAGTCACTTCACTCTTTGTTAAACACATTACTGTATATGCAAGACAGAATGAGCAATTTATTTGCATACTTGTACAGACTTTGCACCAGAGAAAACACCAAGACTCACCGCACTAAATAGCAGAGAGAAAGCACTAGAAAAAACAGACACAGAATGTACTTTGATGGACCCCAGTCATTGCTTTTGTTTCACTGTATACAGCACACTCTCTCCATTTACCACCACAGTCTTCATGACAACATAAAGATCATTTCTCTAGATATTGCTGCTAAAAATATTCGTTTTCCTTACCCTTCTTCCTCCACCAAGGTCCTTCCTGGACAGAATATGACAGTTCCTTAAACTCAATGTTCACAGCTGGTCTCCGGGGTAGGTAGGAGAAACGATGGGCTTCTGTTAGCGTATTGTCCACCTTTTTTAAGTGCCCATTCAGCAACCGAGCATCTTGGTTATCTGTGCCACTTGAGACCACTTCATCCACTGAAACACACACTGACTTTGGCTCAGCCATAGCAGAAGAACTGCTAACATTCTAGAAAATAGGAATAAGAAATAGGAGAACTTTTTATTGGCAACAAATTTCATCAAACTTATTCTTTTGTTCCAAGAATTCTCAAAAATATATTAATTCAGAGCTCTCGTATGGAAAGGTGAAAGGGAACAATTCAGTGATTTGAGTCCTGCCTGTGTCTGTCTAGGCAGGTGTATAAGAAAGAAGCAGGGGGCAACAGTAAAAATGGGCAGTTTCCCAAAATCTAGCAAGCATATATGCTGCCATCCAAAGCTTGCATAAGATTGTTCCACTAACACGAGTCATTATTTTTACTTCTGTAAGACTGAACATTGAATGTACCAAACACATGATCCACAATTCTGGAGGTGAAAGTCAACTCTGATTACCAAATTTCCTGGAGGTGTTTTACTCATGTTCATAAATGAAACTGAAGAGGAATCTAACAATGCCTACTAGGGATGTAAGCAACTAGTCGAATATCCAATAAGCAAAAGCTTATCAGTAATCGACTAGTCACTCTCCCTCCCCCTTCCCCCCTCCCCCACCACTATCAGAGGCAGCAAAGGAGGAGCAGGAGCCAGTGCTGGGGGGCAGCTGGCTTAAAAGCGGATCCCTCCCAGCACCATCTCCACAGGAGGTAGGGGAGGCAGGGTGATAGCAAGAACCAAGTGCAAGCTGGAAATCAACTGACTCCCAGCTCGCACCCAGTCCCAGATGCTGCACCTCTGCTTTTTAAATGTATTAAGAGCCTATCAGCTCTTAATACATTTAAAAATCAGAAGCGTAGCAAGGGGGACCCAGCATGTGCCGGGAATCAGCTGTCCTGGCTTGCATAGGCTCTTAATACATTTAAAAGGTAGAGCCGCAGCAGGGTTAGCTCCTGGTTTCAGGAGCTAACCCCACAGCAGCTCCCGCACTTATCGACTGATCGATGGAATATCCATCAACTAGTCAATTAGTTGATAAAACAAAACGTAACATTCCTAATGCCTACTAGATTTCTTAAACAGTTGGACAATAGAGATATATAATATGAACAGGATAATGCAAAACTATGTTAAACTGAGTGACCTATAATGAAAAGTTTAAAAAACTGGGCACAATTGTTTAATCTTGAGAAAAGACGGGGGAGGGACGCTCTTAAAACAGTCTTCTAATATGTTAAGGTCTATTTTAAAGGAGATAGTCATCAATTATTCCCCATATTCACTGAAGCTAGGGCAAGAAGTAATGGTCTTAAGCTGCAGCAAGGGAAATTTAGGCCAGATACTAAGAGAAACTTTCTAACTATTAGGGTAGTCAAATATTAGAACAGGTTTCAAAGGAGGTTGTGGAAACCCCTTTGTGGGAGGTTTTACAAACAGGTTGGACAAACTCCTCTCAGGGATGATCTAGATCAGCGGTTCACAAATTGTGTGTTGGGAACCCAAAGTGAGTTGCAATCAGTGTTCCCTCTTCCTTTTTACATCCATGTGCAGAATTAATTTTGTTATGTACACCAATATGGAGGTGATGTGTGACAGGGCGAGGCAGAGAGGTTTGGTGTGTGGCAAAAAACTGAGGGTTGGGGTGAGGGGCTGAGGATGCAGGAGGGGGCTTGAAGCTGGGGCAGAGGGTTGAGGTGCAAGGGTGAAAATTCTGGATGGAGTCTGGGGTGAGGATTTGGGGTGAGAGGAGGCTCAGGGCTGCAACAGAGAGTTAGGTGTGTGGGGGGGGTGAAGGCTCCAGTTGGGGATGCGGGCTCAGGGATGGGGCCAGGGTTGACGGTTTGGGGTGCTGGCTTCTCCCCGGCCCTCTTTCACCTCAGCAGCTCAGGACAAGGTGAGAGGCATCTCTCCTCAGCTGCAGTAGCTCTGGTGGGGCTGGACAAGGCCAGGGGAGGGGGGCCTCTCCCCAGCCATGGCACCTCTGGCAGGGCTTGGACAGTGGAAGGTCTCCTCTCCCCGTGTACACAGCACTTGACAGCCATGCGGCAACACAGCGTAAAGAGAACTTAGGTCATGATCCCATTTTCCTGGGGGCTCTAGGGTTGGCTCCTTTACCATGAGGTGAACTGAGGCGGCCGTCTCAGATGCCAGACTGTGGAGGAGGAGGCACCACTAGGACCCAGAGTGTAGAAAAATGTGTCTGCTGCTGGCTTATATGTGGGCATTATTTGAGCTCCGTACCTCAGGTACCAAAATGTTGTGGGCCAGCTGGGACCTGGGGCCCAAACTCCACTGCCTGGGGCTGAAGCCAAGGGCTTCTACTCTGAGTGGCGGAACTCAGGTTATAGACCCCCCTGCCCAGGGCAGCAGCCCTGGGACCTCAACTTTGGGCCCTATCCCCACCTGAGACAGTGAGCAGGGAGGTTTCGATCCTCCCTTCAGACAAAAGCAACTACACAACCTCAGAAGAGAGTCTCAGCGCAATGAAGTTTGAGAACCCCAAGTCTAGGTTTACCTAGTCCTGCCTCTGAGCAGGGAGGCTGGACTTGACTTCAAGGCCCCTTCCAGTCCTAGATTTCTATACTTCTATCTTGTTGTGAGGAAGGGCCAGTCCTTTGAGTGAGGATTTTCAAAATTGGAATGGATAGTGAAGTAAAAGACGGAAGCATTTGTCCTGTCTAGAAACAGTGATCCTGATCTTGTTAATGCCGGTGGGTAGAGAGTCAAATCCTATATCTATATTTTTGTTTTCGTTAACAAAAGGACTGTTACTAAACAATGCAAATATATTTGCATATCTGGTGATAAAAACAAGCAAGTCATGTTTATAATGGTATTTTTATAACAGTCTCTTTTAAACTAATGTATGTTTAACCCTTCAACCAGTTTTCTATTATTTTATTTTCCAATTTCTGTGTCGTGGTTTTTAATTGCTTTTGTTTCACAACAGGCAAAACAATAAACACATGCCCATTCAGCAAAATGTCTCTATCTTCTTTACCAGCTTCTCTCTAAATATTTCCCTTTTGTTAAAATCAACCAGACATACACAGAACTCATTACATAATGTGCTACTGGAGCTTGTATGTTTCTCAGTAAAATTGTTTTGAAATCATAGGATGCAGTTGAGCAGGACAGAGCATGCTCAGAAAACTGTCTAATCTCCTCCTCCTTCCCCCCCATGAGCTCAAGGCAAGAGGTAACTATCGGTCAAACCCTGCTGTGTGTCCCTGATTTCAAATCCAGGATGCTATAAATGAAAAATCAGTGCATCCTGCCTAATTCTAGCCAGCCTGTACCCTGTGAAATGGCAATAACTATGCCACAAGAACAATCCCCAGAACTTCAGCTAAATTCCTTGCATGACTTATTGACACAAACAAAGGCCAAGGTTAACCAGCCACTCCAGTTGCTTAGAAAAGCACAAACCAATGGCCAAGCTCTCACATTGCTGTACCCCCATAAACCAACCAGCAGTCCTCCCCAAAACCCCTTCTCTCACGGCACACAGACACAACGGTGATAGAGCTGGTAACACACAAGGAAGGCATCCCAGCAATGCTTACTGCACAGTGAAAGCCATCGATCCATTTTTATTCTGGGCTGGGCCACTTTTGGAGAAGCCCCGTGGCCATCCTCACCCTCTCCCCAAGCCATGCCACGCTGCCCTCCACCCCAACACCCGCTGGGACGAATCGCTGGAACTCACCGCCGGGGGATTATCCTGGCACACCGACCGCGCTGCTTAAGGGAGTCGCTGCTGTCCAGCAGCAATCAGGCAGCCTGCGTACCGGGAGGAGGCTTCCTCCCAGCGCCTGTTTTGAAATACGGGCCAGCTGCCAGGGGGGAGGGGACTCTGTTTGGGAAGCTCCCCCCTAGCTCCGACCCTGCCGGTGGGAGAAAAGCTCTGCAGCCTAGGGCCGGGCCGGGGCGCTGCCCTACACACGGGATCTCTCCGCCGCCTCCCGCCCCAGCGGTGCCAGCCCCTCGCCGGCTCAGACGCGCTCACGAGCCGCTCAATCCGGCCCAGGGGGAGCTGGTCCCACCGCAGAAGAGCCGCCCGCTGCGGGAGCCAGGCTGCCCCGCTCGGGCAGGGGGGAGGCGCCCGGGGGCTTCTTACCAAGGCGCTGCCCGCCGAGAGCGCTGCCATCAGACAGGCCATGTGCGCCGGGACGGGCGGGGGCGCTCGGAGGCTCCAGCCGCAGCGGAGGCAGCGCGCAGCGATGCTCACCCTGGCTGCGCGGCCCCTCAGCCCCACGCCGGCCGGCAGCGCCTGGGCCGCCCTCTCCCGCCGGATTGGCTGAGCAGGGGCAGTGGGCGGGCCTGGCCTCTTGCAGGGAAACGTGCTCTTGTTTTCCTGCCTCTGGCCGGGCTGGGCGCTGCTCCCCTCCTCCCCGCGCAGATGCTTTGCAGCTTCTGCTCTCTCGCCTCTCCGCCTCCCCATCCCCCTGCCTGCTCCGGCGGTGCCTGCGGGCAAGGCAGGGCACTGGCGTGTAAGGGGTGGAGTCCCTCCTCCCTCCCCCCGCTATTTCCTCCCCCCACAGTATTGCACCCTCTAGGGGTATCCTGGAACATGCACCCTCTAGGGGCAGCGCTAGCGGGATGCACAGAAGAAGCTTCCCACTTCCCTCTGCTCTTTGCTCCTCTCTGGCCTGGACTTGGTAATCAGTGGCTGGGAAGCAAAGAAAAGAAAGTTCCTTGTGGAATCCCCATCTCTGGAGATATGTAAGAGTAGGTTAGATAAATGTCTGTCAGGATGGTCTAGACAGTATTTGGTCCTGCCATGGGGGCAACGGTCTGGACTCGATGACCTCTCGAGGTCCCTTCCAGTCCTAGTATTCTATGATTCTATGATCTCATCACTGCTATGGGCAAAGGCTATGTCTACACTGGCTTGATTTTGCACAAGAACTCTTTTGCGGAAGTGTTCTTGTGCAAAAACTCTTCCAGAAGAGAGCGTCTACACTGGCATGTGCTTTTGCTCAAGAACATCCATGCCAGTGTAGATGCTCTCTTGTGCAAGAAAGTTCCGATGGCCATTTTAATCATAGGGCTTTCTTGCGCAAGAAATTCATGTTGCCTGTCTACACTGGCCTCTTGCTCAAGAACAGTTGCACAAAAGGGCTTATTCCGGAGCGGGAGCATCAGAGCTCTTGCTCAAGAAGCCCTGATTTCATACATTAGAACGTCAGTGTTCTTGCGCTAGAACTCATGGCCAGTGTAGACAGGCAGCAAGTTTTTGCGTAAAAGCAGCCACTTTGGTGCAAAATCTTACCAATGTAGACACAGCCAAAGTGTATTAATTAGGGATATTAAAATGCCCTTATTTATGTCAGGGGTGGGGAACCTTTTATAGCTCAGGCCCATATGCAGGAATTTCTATGGTTTGGTGTTTTTTTTGTAAATGTGGACTGTCCCCTGCCTTGCTCCTGAGGGAAGAGAGAGGGGAAATCAACTCCATCTTCTCTCTGCCAGCCAGAGCATGTTTATTTGGGGGACCATGAGGAGTATACAGGCCTGGGTTCCCCCCGAACCCAAATCACACAAACACTAGTGCGACACAAGAGGTGAATTGTGGAGCCGGGTTCTGCCCAAGTAGCGCTGCAGCCAGCTTTGTCTCCCTGCAAGGCAAGAGGGGGCTGAAGCACACATTGTATTTGTGTCATTGTTGGCTTCCCAGGCAGTATGGCAGAGACTTGGGGCACTCGTTACACAGGTGGGAGTGACTCATTAGAATGCCACACTATCAACATGCAAAGCCCCCCTACTGGAAGCATGTGAGGTTTAACTGGTTCTCACCTCTTTGCTGGGGGGGGGGGGGAGAACCCAGGATCTCTGGCCAATCATAAGTCTTGGCCTGGTGCCTTGGAGAGAAAGTAGCCCACACAGTGGCTAGAAATGAGCTTCTGCCAAATGAGGGTTGTTACAATCTCAGCTTTTAGTTCAGGCCAGTTTCTAAGGCAGCACTGAGCTAGCTCAGGCCTTGGGATTCAGGGTAGGATCATTGTCTTCATCTCGGAGTGGGGAAGGCTGAGCCACTGGGGCTATGAGACTTGCCCAAGGCCACCAAAGACGTCAATGGCAAAGCTGAAAAGAGCTTTTGAGAATCCAGATGTTTCTGTTCTGACCATCAGTCCCCATTTCCCTGCCAGAGCTAGGACTAGGACCCAGGAGTCTTGCTCCCAGCCCCCCTTGCTCTAGCTAAACTCTACTCCCCTGGCAGGGCTAGGAATAGGGCCTGGCCATCCTAGCACCCCCTCCTCCCTGCTCTAACCAAAGCTATCCCTACCGGTAGGTAGTGAAGGATGTGGTTCCATCCTGTTTCAGCATTACCCATGGATAACTGCAGCCCCAGAAGGCCCAAGGTTAAAACAGCATTACTGTCTCTGCTGGAGGCAGCCCCTCTACCCCAAAGGAGAGATGGACGCTTCAGGGACAGAAATGCTGTTGTCCAGCTTCTGAGAATTTGACATAATAACATGGTGCTGGAACTAGCAGCAGGTGGCCAAGCTGTGCTGTGTGGGGCAGGGTTAGCTAATGTCTCCTGTTTTGGTGAAGTAGAACCATGTCATTTGATTGCATTTCCCTTGCTGGGGAGCGAGCAGGACCTTGGCCCTTATCCCCTCTGTCAGGCAGCGTGTGTCTAATGGTTAGAGTAGCAGAGTAGGAATTGGGGCTTCTCCTAACTCAGGCAATCTTGTTGCCATGGTTTTAAATGGATCTCTGTGGGCCTGGTTGGCAGGCTGCAGCACTCCCATTGGGAGCATCTGAAAAATTAGGCTCTGTTTGTCACAGTTTCCCTCTTTACAGAGGGGGTAGTGACAGTTCTCCCCCTTGTACAATGCTTTGCTATCCTTAGATGGGTGCAATTGCTCTTTTCCCTGGAAAGAGGTGAGTCCCTGAAATCCCCACCAGTAACGGGGCGCCCTTTTGAAAAGGCAGCACCCATGTGCATGGAATTAGTGTCAGTGAGTGTCAGCCACAAATGGCTACAAAACATTAGATAACCAAGTTCATAAACTGTTTGGGTACATCTACACAGTAGCGTTATTTCAGAGTAACTGGTGTTATTCCAAAATAACACAGTGCATGTCTACACTACCCTTTATTTCAAAATAATGGCGAGCTGGAGGATTCCTTACTCCAACTCCTGTAACCCTCATTTCACAAGGAGAAAGGGAAGTCGGAGGAAGAGGATTCTTCCTTTGAATTCCTGCAGCGTAGACAGTGCCAAAAGCCGAATTAAGTTATTTCGACTTCAGCGATGCAATTGACGCAGCTGAAGTTGTGTAGCTTAATTCAACTTTAGCCCTGCTGTGTAGACGTACCCTCCAAAGCCTGCTAAAGAGAGTCTTATCATACTATTTACCCCGTCTATAGTATTGTACGAACATTAATCTTCGCGATACTCTTGGGCAGTAGGTAAACATTAAGCATTTAAGAAATCTAGGCAATGCTACCTTCTTAACCAGTTTATTTATTTATGAGCAAGGATAAAACACCCCCTTCAGCAAATTTAGTAATCAGAATTGACTTTTACCTCCAGAACTGTGGATTATGTGTTTGGTACATTCAATGTTCAGTCTTAAAGAAGAAGAAAAAAGTGACTTGTGTTAGTGGAACAATCTTATGCATTCTTTGTCTGGCAACATACATGCTTGCTAGATTTTGGGAAATCACACCTTTTCACTGCTGCCCCCTGCCTCTTTTAACAATGGGGAAACTGAGGCTATGTCTACACTGCAGAGAAAAGTTAGGAAAAGATACGCAAATTGCAGACCGCAATTTGCTTATCTTTTTCCGCTTTTTTCCCCGAAAGAGGCTTTTCCAAAATTTGTCCCATCTACACATGGCCAAATTTCAGAAAAAACTCCTGTTTTGGAACATCCCTTATTCCTCTCACCGAGAGGAATACAAGGATGCTGAAAGAACACATCTGCTTTTTCAGAAACTGTTCCAAAAAAGCGGATGCGTTTCTTGGACGCCACAGAGCTTTTCCGGGATATCTCCAGTATCCTGGAAAAGCTCTACAGTCTAGACATCGGCTGAGAGGGAGAGGTGAATTTTTACCTCAGGCAGTGGCAGAACTGGAACTAGAACATTTGAGCTTCCAGCACTTAATCTTGTATTCTGTTTTACAGATAATGCTGGATCTGTTTGTACCCCAAACACTGAAAAGAAAATGTTTGCCTACTGTGGAGTGCCAACCAACTGTGTGTCAAAAGTGTTAACTATAAACCTGAACCATATTGGAAAAATAATATCAAAATTGATTCTTCTCTACTGTACATAGCCAGCTGCCAAGCACTGTTCTGGTTATGTTAAAAGGTTTTAGCTAGCTTGGTTTGGTGCATCATTGTTTACAGAACTTAATAGTTGTGTAGACAAAATGCCTCACATCCCCTTAAAATGTTTGCTTTTTGACATAGCCTTCCCTCCTTCCTTTCAAAATCTGAAAGACATTGTATTGTGTAAACTTAAAAAAACAACAAATAGTCTGATAGCACTAACATGTAGCTGGTATCATGATCTTTCATGGGCTGCCCCTTTGAAGAATGTGTTGTGTGTCCATTTCTGCTGCATATGTTTAGGAGTTAGGTAGTCTGATGGCCTTCTTGAGTAAGCCAGTGTCCAGTAAGTAAAACAGATGGGAGGGATAGAGCAGAGATATTACTGAAGGAGATGTGTGACAGATGGTAGTTTGAGATATGTGAAATACCCATCTATCCAATGCCCATTCCTTCCCTGATCACCCAACTTTTTGGAATCTAAATATGGAACAAAACCTCAAAATGATGGACACAAGAAAATAACCAGTCCAGAAAGATAAATTCATGGTGCTGTAATCTTTGATATTAGCCACAGCTTCAATTCAATCTGTCATTCATTTATCAAAGCAAGGGCTGGACTGTGCCTTTTAGGGAACTGTCTTACACTGGAAGCTATGTAGAGCTGCTTGTCCCCAGTAGTAACTCCAGGGCTGTGTCTAGACTGGCATGTTTTTCCAGAAAATCATCTGCTTTTCCGGAAAAACTTGTCAGCTGTCTACACTGGCCGCTTGAATTTCCGGAAAAGCACTGACAATCTCATGTAAAATCATCAGTGCTTTTCCGGAAAAACTATGCTGCTCCCATTTGGGCAAAAGTCTTTTTCTGAAAGACTTTTGCGCAAAAGGGCCAGTGTAGACAGCAGAGTACTGTTTTCCGCAAAAAAGCCCCGATCGTGAAAAAGGCGATCAGGGCTTTTTTGC